GTTTAAAATGAATGAAATGTCGACGTCTGACGTTTCGGTTTAATAAACCTTTTTCAAGACAATATTCATTAAAAAAAAATTCAGTTCAATATGAAAGCGTCGCCCATGTGACGACGGCGTGACCATGTTAGACGGAAGGCTGATCATTTTAAAAATTTTCAGTTATCTGTTTTGGATAAGACTTGTGTTTTTTATGTCCATCGTATTTGTCATATTGAACTGAATTGTATTTTAATGAATATTGTCTTTAAAAAGGTTTATTAAACCGAAACGTCAGACGTCGACATTTCATTCATTTTAAACAACATTTAAGGATTTTTGTTTGTTTTTTCAAAATTTTTCTTCATATTCGTGTATGTGTGTGTGTTGAAATTTAAAATACAAAAACTGAACTCATCTACCAACGTGCCTACTTTGAAAATCAGCCTTCTACAACTGATAATGTAGCTAAGCTCGAATCTCATTACTAGACGCAGACAGCAAATGCGCAACTGTCTAACTCACCAAACAAGCTACATATGCGCCTCACATCTTCGTGGATTTTCATTAAAATACAAATAACATTTTAAATTGGTAAGTTCACATCAAATCCACTCAGAGAAAATGAATACGGATTTGGGAATGGAAACATTCTCGTACATATTCGTTCACAATGTAGGGAGACACACATATTACAAAGGAAATGCGTAGACGTGTATCCGCAACTTGCTAGTCTCACGCAAGACACGTCAGTTCGATTGAACATTCGTAAAAGACTCTGGTCACACAAGTATAAAATTAATTGAAAAATCAAGCAATGTTCGCGAATGATCTAATTTGGGAAATACTCCAATCCTTTTAAAGTTGTCTAATGGAGCATTAGTTAATGAAAGACCTCGAATAAATAAAAGTGTATCGGCGTACTCAATAGGCCGGCTTTGGGAACCTCCCGAAATCGTCTCAGCGGAACGGCCCTTGCAAACGGGCCAAAATTGAGACCGTTATTAGATTAGGGTGCTTTTAGCGAACGTTTGGCTTTTAAGTGTCCGGGTGATGGTTGGGAAGGGGTTGCTTGAACTAGGGAAGAAAGGGTTGGTTGACACTTGATCGTTTGAGTGGGTGAGTGATAGGAAGAAGAAAAATGCAAAAGGAAAAGAAAGGCAATGAAAATAGTATAAAAATGAATGACATAAAGAAAAAAAGAAACAAAAAAAGAAAGAAAAAGAAAAGCATTAGAAAAAGAAAAAAAGAAAGAAAATGAAAGTAAATCAATCGTAAAAAGATAGAAAGAAAAAGAAAAGCATTGGGAAAAGATTGACGCCAAGATTAAAAATAAGAAAGAAAGAAAAAGAAAGAAATTAAAGGAAAGTAAAACAATAGAAAAATGAAAGAAAGAAGGAAAAAAGAAATAAAGAAAGATAGAAAGAAGACTTGGAAAAAGTTTGATATAAAGATTAAAAAAGAAAGAAAAAGAAAGTAAGAAATGAAAGAAAAGAAAAATAGTAGAAAAAGAACATCAAGAAAGATAGAAAAAAGCAGTGGAGAAAAGAATGACGTAAAGAAATGACATGAAAGAAAGAAAAAAAGAAAGAAAGAAAAAAAGAAAGAAAGAAAAAAAAGAAAGAAAGAAGTTGAAAACTGTACAAAAATAAAAGGAAAAGATAAACTAGAAATGAAAGAAAACTTGAGTATGAACGAGAAAATATTAGTAAACAGAATAAAGAAAGAAGGGGAATAAAAAGAAATAAATAGAATAGGAATAAAAAATGAATAAAGAAAAATCAATGAAAAATAATGAAAAAAATTAGCCTGAAATGAATTTTCATTGAAGAGAAAAAGAAACATTAAATTAAAATGGAACAAAAAGAAAGTACGGTAAAACAAATGAAAGCTTAAAAAGAAAGAAAGAAAGAAAGAAAGAAGGAAAGAAAGAAAGAAAGAAAGAAAGAAAGAAAGAAAGAAAGAAAGAAAGAAAATGATAAATAGTAAGAAAGAAAAAGTAAAGAGAAATAATGAAATAAAGAAAGTGAAAAATTATGAGAAGGATAAAGAAAAGAAAAGAAAAAACATCAACAATGGTGAGATTGGGTCTCTTGTTTGAAATTCTAGGCGCCTACATCCTGACATAAATACTTTTAAATATGCATGAAATTTGCAAGTTTAGCACTGGAAGTAACAGCTTTTTTTGCTGATAATGTCTCTGCAGATAAAGAACTAAGAGGCAAGTGTTAATTGTAATGGCGAGATAGCCGTTTCCACACAGGAAAAATTCGACATTCAATGACCGAAAATTTAGCATTACTGTTGGTTGAAGTTCATAAAATCATTCTATTAAAACAGTTTTTTAGGAAAATGGGTTTCTCACGTCATTTAACTGTTATTGCATTTTTTAGCATTGGTCTAAGAATTTCTTCTGAACATTTTGTTTAAAGTTACGCAAAAAGTCAACATCTTGATATGTCATTATTTTCTCTTCAATTTACCATTGTCGTTGCTGATAGAAGACTTCAAGTGATATGGTTTATGTTAAAGTTGTTTGTGATTCTGTAGCGCCAGTCTGTGGGATTCGATGAAATATAGTTTTCTTCCTGCAAACCACTGCCCTGTGGAACAGACACCCAAGAGGATGTTTCCCCGATCACTACAATCTTAACTGTTTAAATTTAGAGTTAACCGTTATCTTTTCCACATAAACTACACCTTAACGTAAACCTATTCCGCTTATGACCTCCAGACCTTGTACAGGGTAAGCTTATTGTAAAAAAAAGAGAAGATATTTCCTAACAACGTGGACGCCGTGCATAACATTTATATGAGAAGGTGATTTAAATTCAAATTTGAGAAGGGGATTTAAGAACATGATACGAGATTTTATGTTAATATTTTTACTTTGTAACATCTCACGGTTTTAAGCAAAATACCCTTAATGTCCTTTGTCCTACGAACATTTTTTACTTCCTACACTAAATTTGTAACTGATCCAGACACAGGGTTTAAAGAACTTAGAGTTTATTATTCAATTTTTTTTTGTATTAAGGATTTAGGTTGGGTATCCTCACTATTTTCATTCCAATTCTAGATTATAAGTGGTTTCTATTTTAGAAAGGTTTATCGTAAAATGTCTTCTTCAACTCTATACTCATAACGCCTCCGCTTAATCATTTGAATATTATTTACTGTTTATGTATTTTTTTCCTTCAAAAGGAGTAGATAGGTTCACACCCCTCCCCGGGGGCTTATCCATTGTTTCCATTGTTTATCCAATGTTTGTGATTCGGTTTCAGGTTCTTTCTCAAGTATTCAAAATCACTTTCACTCCCAGTAAGGCTTTGGCATCTTGGTGGCCATATTGGGAAGAATTGATAAAAATTCACTTACATTTATATATATATGAATGATAAAAATATAGTTTTAAGATATGCTAAAGGGAAAAGTACACTTTATCAAACATAGAGCGTATGTAAAATCATCAGACCTGATGATTATGTTTAGATATGAAACAGACAGTTGCTGCAACGTGTTGATCTCAGTGTCTACATTTACACATATATATATATAGATATAGATATATAGATATACAGATAAAATGAGAACAAATGGAATATGATTGCACTGTATGTAACATTTCATTGATGAGAGGGTTCAATATATAATAGAGCTAAATATTATTTATTTCAGGATATTGAATCAAAATCACGTTAAAAATCGCACTACACTACAAATACTTCGCCTCGCCTTTATTTTGCCATCACCCGAGGAGACATATTTGCAGTAGTGAAACATAATTGTAATTGTGTAGAGATTTTTAACATGGTTTTGTTTTAATACCAATGTAGAAAGAATTTTTAACATGGTATTTGTTTTTTTATATATATATATATATATATATATATATATATATATGATATATATATTATATATATATATATATATATAAATATATATATTATATATATGTCTATGTTTTTATTTTGTGCTATTTATATATATATATATTGCACCATATATATATATATATATATATATATATATATATATATATATATATATATATATATATATATATGTATGTAAAACATATATATATGAAATATATATATATATATATATATATATATGTATATATATATATGGATATATATATATATATATATATATATATACATTTGACAAAGATTATTACCTGTAGAACAATATTTTATATCGAGATTTTAAACGATTTTAAAACCCATTCTAAATTCACTATAATTGAGAGCATGGAAAAGTTTAGAGCAGATAAAATTAGAAAGATTTTAGAGTTCTATGAAAATAAGTGGATCCGACGTTTGAAAACGCACTATCCAGACGGACTTAATCACAAATTTAACAATATAGATAGTATTAATGTATAACCCCACAAATCAAGACCTACCCACATTTCTCACCCACACAAGACAGATATGCTTACGAGGTGTTGAGGCCTCACACTTATACACCCACCCACACGAATATACACACTTACACACATCATACTCACTCCCTCCCTAATAAGCCAAATGATATCACATACCCATAGTAATATACACGGTTACACACATAATACTCACTCACTCCCTAAGAACCAAATAACACACACACATACACTTAACCGAGACACATCCCCTTTCCAGGAAGCAATAAAACTGTCAAAATGACCAAGGGAATTCAGAGCAGCATGAATCCATCCAGCTCTTATCTTAAATAACAAAAAAGAGACTGTTCGATCAACACAAGGTCTGACCAAAATTCATGTTTAAAAAATAAAAAAAAAACAAATGAAAACTAGACAAAAGTTCATCTTCTCCATCAAGACATTCATTTCTGTAGTTCTCTGCTACTAGGAAGAAGAAAAATTTTTTCTTCTCCTGGTGATGGCCATGTTGGACGAAACTAGTCGATAAATCTAACTGAAATAATAATAAAAACGAAAGAATATTAATATACAACCCATTGTGTCTGAATATATATATATATATATATATATATATATATATATATATATA